TATGGTTAAAACCATGGTATTCTTTGAAGTACCCTGGAGTACCATATAAACAGTACTAATTTAAGTATTGTATTAACTATTTGTAATTTATAAATGTCTTGGTTTTAATTTTATTCATTTTAATTTTTAATTTTTATTACAGTTATGCATTGAATTGTGCAATTTCAGAATACTCCTTTTATATAAAGTACGGTAAAAATGATTTTGGTGTCTTGCTAAAGGGTGCATAACACCCATTCGGAAATGATTTCATCATTCCTATACCGGACACTGAATGTGTAACCTTCATTTCCAAGTGACATCCTTCTTTATTATCGAGTATCCTCTTAATTTGTGTCTCACTTCCCCTGCATTAGAGAACTGCTACATCAGTCTGGAGGTTAAAGGATATGACTTCACTCTGATGGTGAGGTCAGAGGCCGAAATCCCCAACGGCCTGAAGATGACGAAAGACAACATCACAGAGCTGAGCAAAGCGGCCAAAGCCATCATATCTGTGGCCACCAAACTCCAAGAAATGATCGATTGGCTTCTGAAGAAGGAGGACTCCATGACCAAACAGGTGGAGTCTACAGAAAACAATAACCAAGACAAGAAAAGGCTGCTGGACAACCTGAAGGAAAACCTCCGAGAGGCACGGAGAGCGAAAGAAACGAGTCCAAAGTACAGGAAGGAGGCTGGAAATCTTCTCAACGAGGCCGCGGTGCTGTCCGGCATCACACCGTGAAATACATCACAGATTCTTGCAATATGAAGAGACGGACACAATATTAGTACATTAAACCTGACCAGTATAATACAGAGCATTAGTGCAAGTATATAGAACTATAGGCTGATGAAGGATTGTAATATCTAAAAAAATATATATATATTAATAGACATAATACGACCAATTTCTATTTACTTTGGAAAGCATAAAGAAGGCACACAAATACAGAAGAGAAGCCATTTGTTATTTTACATCCTCTTTTGTGTGTTTCCTGATGGGTATTTTCCACTAATGAGCCAGTTTCGTTTCTAAAAGCACTGTCATACTTGTTGAGCATCAGTCCTCGTGGCTGTTTCTGCTGTGAATGTGAATATGAGTGTATATGAATTATTGATTACAGAGTAGAGGAAAACCAATCTTGAACACTTTGTAACCTTTTCATCCATATTTTAAATTTGTCAGTTTTATTTTGTAATTCAATCATTCATTTGTTTATGTGAGAATGATTTTGCCTGTTAAATAAATTCACCATTTGCCCTTTTTCTAGTTATTATAGGAATAGTTTTTGTTGCAGCATAGAATATAAATAAAAGTTAAATATATGTTGATGATTATCTTAAACCGTTTTAATTATTAAATTGGACTATTGTTATTTTTATCATTGATAGTTAATATTTTGATTAGAAATAATTATATTTCTGATTTCTCTTTAATTTGAAAGTTTTAGTAATTTTTGTGTGTGTTTGTCAATTTTATTACAATTTAATAAAAATGTTTTCCATATATTTTTTATACATTTTTATTTATTTATTTTAGTTGAACTAAGTCAAACTAAATGAAAATGAGTAATGTTGCTTTGGCAAGGTTTAATTTTTTTTTATTTTTTATATATATATTTTATTTTATTTTATTTCAACCATCCGTTCTCCAGTCACTTTATCCTCCACAGGGCTGCGGGTATTTTATTTCAACGAACATTTATTTAATTGAACTTGGGTGAATTCAGGTTGATCTGGACACTATTTCCCAGTCAACTGAATGCCAAAAAGTGTCCAAATCAACCTGAATTTACCCTATGTACAAGTCTTAATATCTGATACCATTCCCTGCATAATAGACCACCACAGTGTTTTTAGGGCAGCAATTATACTTATCCTTTATAATCCTATAACAATTGTAGAAATATAGGCTACTTATATAATGTTATGTAGGACATAAATCATGCAAAGTGAAAGTAACATGGGACTCAGTACCGTAGTACATATTAAAGTACTGTATGATATACCATGGTATGTACCGTGGTATCACCTTAGTAGGCTATTGTTGTTTGTATGACTGCAATGCTATTTTTCCTTATGATTCGACTTATTTGTATGGATTTTGCTGTTTTAAAAAAAATATATTTTAAATAAAATGTATGTACTTATATGGTCAAATTTAGGACACAAAACTTGTCTATTCCATCATTAATTACGCATGGCACATTACTGAATACATTTAACAGTAGTTACAATAGACACAGTCTACCTCGCTAGTGGAAACCGTGTAGCCCCGCCTCCTGGATCATTTGATTGGCTGCTATTTGTGGACACGACGCTGGGTTTTATATGCTCTTCCGCCATTGGCCCGTGCCGCTGTCAATCAGAAATCCTAACTCGCTCCATGTTAGACTGAAGTGTGTGAAAGTACTGGTGAAGGACTCGCGTGTGTTCAGATATTTCAGCGCGTTAATGGACTAACCGAGACATAAACGAGACGAGCGGCAGAGAGGCTGTGCATATAGCATGATAAGTGAGTATATGTTTAAAAACTGCCTTCGTTTAAGCTTTGAATATGTCTCCTGTACATGCACCGATGGCGTGGCGGTTCATCTCATGTGTCTGACTAAACAAACTGAGCTTATAGAAGCAGCTCTGATGATTAAACTCATTTATGTGTCTTTGCAAACTTCATATGAGCAAGCACAGATGTGGACATGTTAGATGAGAAGGGTTGGTGAAGGACAGACATTGCTTTTGCTGTTTTAAGCAGTTGGCATGCAACACAGTTATGCACGAGCTGTCATTGCTGAATTGTGTGTATGCGCGAGCGTAGAGGTATGCACATATGTTTGTTTCTGAGTGTATGTATGTGTTTGCATGTTTAAATGCTAGTTTGTGTATATTCATGTATGTATGTTTATGTGTGTGAGTGTTAGTGCTTGCTTGAATGCTTGTGTACATGTACATAGGTTTGATTGTCAATGTATGTAACTTATTTGAGTGATGTGTTACATGTTTGAGTGCTTGGTGTGTGTGAGTGTGTGAACATGCTCACCTCCATGGTTTTCTGTTACATGTTTGAGTGTGTATGCATGCATGCATGCATGCATGCATGTAGGTGAGAGTGTTTGAGTGCTTATTTGTATTTACAGTGTGTGTGTGTGTGTGTGTGTGTGTGTGTGTGTGTGTGTGTATGGATGTGAGCCTTATGGCTGTGCATGCAGTCGTGTCTTAAGTTGTGTAATGTGAGTTGCACACTCAGCCGGTTTGCTTTCCTTCCCGTCACTGCAGGACAGATGATCAACTTGTTTTTAAAGGAACGAGATTATAAAAGGAAATGACCTCTATCATATGACTGAAGCCACTAGTGCAGAGATAAGAGTCCAGTGTGTGTGTGTGTATAAAATCACAGTCGTGTCCGCTCATTGTCCGACAGCAGATTAGATGCATGCAGATGTGGCTGGTGAAGTAAAGAACACAGCTGTACAGATGAGTTGTGCTGTTATTATGCCGTGTTTTGTGATCATATGCAGTAGATGTGAGCAGTGTTTCAGTAGTCTCAACCCACAGTGTGTTTACTGACCGTCTGATGCGTATGTGGCCAGAAATGACAAGAGCTGCAGATTTACTGGCTTTGTGGCATTAAAGATGCTTAAAGATTGAGTTTGAGGCTCTTAGTAGCAAGTAAACTAGATCTCTACAGTCTTAACAAAATAAAAATCGATTAAAAAGCAAGAAATCTATATTGATGAACTGCATATCGATTTTTAAATCCCAAGATTGATCTTTTAGTCTGTGCTGGTTTCAGTTGATGTGTGAACAATTTAGTAATCACACAATATGCTTTGTTGATTTTTATGTCAAACAAGGTCTCAGCTTTAATTTTATCAAGAAATTCAAACAATAATTGTTTTAAGAAACAGTACAACGAACTAACTGAAATGCATCATGTCACGGTCACATTTAGTCAGTGTTTCAACTGCGGAAAGACGTCAATAATTCAGCTTGAATATTTCACGTAACGTTACATTTACCTCAGAAAAGCCATTCAGTGACCATAAAACTGACAGTAAAATAACTCTAGAGAGGAGCATTTTGATAAATATATGCTAGCCTATTTCATATTTTTACTTAACCTGTTAACGTTTAAATAAAATCTTTCCTGAAAACAAGTTTTTATGTTTATATATATTTATATTTCATAGTATAGTATCATAGTTTACATTTCAACAACGAACTGTAGTAGAAACATCATTTTATCACTAAATATTGATATCAAAACTGCCTAATGTGCAATTTTAATGTTTGTGTACAACTCAGCGTTGATTATTAGTATACCTAAAAAAAAAAGTAAGTGAATAGTTTGTTTAATCTTTAATATTACACAACTGACAGGGTTCCATAACTGTTTCCATAACTTCCATAACTATCCATAAATAGTTTAGTTAAGAGATTGATTTTCTTAAAAAAATATTAATTTGTAGTGTACCTGATAGTATTATCTAAACTAGGGCTGGGTGATATGGACAAAACATCTATTTATTTATTTTTTTGGCTGAATGGCGATAATGACAATATATATCTTGGTATTTTCCCTTTTCAGATATTTCAGTATCGATATTGAAATATTGATATTTTTGACAACACTATGTTTTAACAAACAGCTTCTCCCACAGCCTATTCCCCAGGATACAAAAACCTTAAATATTTTCTCCATGCCAGTCTATTTTTTTGCGCTATTAACCTTTAGACAAACCCGCTCAAAATGGTTCTCGGATTAAACAAACTGTTTAACAAATTTTCCTCCTGTATTCTTGGGCAGAATAAGCTGTAAATGTGTCCAGACAGTCAAAAGTATAGCAGTGCGTCACTGCCGTTCCACTAACGCAGAGTGATACTGATCATTGGTTCCTCTTTCACGGTTATCATCCCAGCCTCTGTGGTTTGGATTGTCCTCCCTGCGCTGAACAGTGATGTCTGCTCCACGTCTGGCCTTTAAATGCCACTTTATTAAGACACACGGATGCGTATTACTGTGTGAACGAGGTCTGGGAAGCTTCATTACTGTCAGTGTTACAGTGGATGTCCACTCTCTGGTCTACATGCGTGACCCACGGGCAGTTCATTAATTTGTGATTCAAATCAATACGATACAGGAAGTGCAAATATGTAAATGTCAGTGTTTGTAATGTGTTAGAGTGTGTGTGGTGTAATTGGCTCTGACAGCGTCTCAGGATCCTCGGGGTCCAGCGCTTCAGAGCACAAACCCAGAGCTGCCATTAAGAATAAGAGCTTTATAACTCTTTGCAGATTTGACAGCTCGCTCGCTCTCGGCTCTGACGGAAATGAGAGATTTGTGCTGCTGCCTTAATCAAATTGAGTTTTTCTTTTCCTTCAAGTGCCCCCAATATCTCAATTTCTCATGTGTTTTAGCTATTAACTTTTCAGTCAAGTGGCCTAGAAATAATTATTTTTTCTCCTAGTTAAATGCAGTTTAACTAGGAGAATCAGGCTCAGGTTTGAGCCAGATAATGAAGCTAGTCACTGTTTGTGTTTAATGTCAGTTTAAAGGCGAGGATGCTAAATTAATAGGAAGTGAGTTTGAATCTTTGCAAAACAAGTTTTGCATGTTACATTTGTCATTGCCTATCTGACTTAGTATGCAGGCAATGAATGAAATAATACTATTATTTTATCTTTTTTTTTTTTTTTACACCTTTTGTAGAGCTGTACAATCGATTAATTGCATCTAACATAAAAGTGTGTGTATATATATATTAGGGCTGTCAAAATTGCTCAAAAATGACGTTCGAATATTCCCTCTAAAAAAAACCCATATATTCGAACTATTCGAATATCTGGTTGCGCATTTTGTCAATGACGCGCATTACATCAATAACAGGACAAATTAATACAAAGAGACACAACTACTTGTATACGTAGTTTATTTAAGTTTAAACATATTTGACAACGTAACTTACACAAAACCAAGTAAATCAACTAATGGCCAAGACCGCAGACCTTACTCTCGCTCGCACTCGCAGGCTCTCTCTCTCTCTCTCTCTCTCGCCCTCACGCTCTCTGCGCATAACGGTTTAAATGAACAAAAATAAACAAATGTTGAGTGCTGATCAAGAGTTTTGTGCAAGCAATTTAAGGTCGCGACTCTTTTCCTAAATATAGCAGGCTTTATTCGGTGATTGAAACAAATATTATTAACATTAATTGAAGTTTTACAGTATATAGAACCGACATTGAACGCTCCGAGCGAGCTGTGCTGTGCTAAACTGCTGCTAGCCTGCTAGTACTATGGCTATTTCGAGGGCGTCTGGCCACGCCCCCATTGGCGGGCTCTGACGTGTCTGATGTAATGCTAGCTCATTGGCGCACACGTTGGAGGCGCCCGTGCCATTGGATGTGCAGTTGACGCAGCACAGCCAATGAGTGAGCCAGACACTCACTGTGCTATCCGTCTGTGCAGCTGGAAAATGCGTTTTACATTTTAAGCTTCAGAATTTCGCCACTCGCAAAGCAGACAGCCGCGCCTCTGCTACCGCGTGCGTGTTTTTCCACATGATTCGAATATTAATTTTCACCTTCGAATTTCTGTTTTTTAAAACTATTCGAATATATATTCGAATTTAGAATATTCGTTGACAGCCCTAATATATATTTATATGTAATATATATTTATCTCTGTGTGTTTGATACATGAGTATGTAGGCAATATTGTTTATGTTAAAACCGTATAAAATTTGCTGTATTGCTGTACTCATCGACTATAAAGGCCAATGTCATGAATCGGTGGTTGTATGGAATATTTTTTTACAAAGGTTTAAAGGAAATGAAAAAGTTAATATTACTCATAAATAAAAACAGTTGATATTACTCATACATGTTTTTTTTTTTTTTTAAATGTTGTTCCCCAATTAATTCTACTCAATTTTATTTGTTAATGCACCAAATGCAGTTACTCAGATCTACTTAATTTTTTTACTTACATTTACTCAGTTCATACTGTGTATGTAATTTATTTCACTGCTTTCAAATTAAATCAATATTTACACAGGCACACACACAAATATAATATATATAAATATATATATTCACATATATTATGTAAACAGACTTTTATGCTAGATGCGATTAATCGATTTTACACTCCTACCTTTCTGCTATTTTGAACCAAGTCTATTGCTGAACCATTTTGCCAACTTTTTTTTGTGCTACTTCTCCTTATCCAATCATCATAAAATTTGGCTCCGATCATCTTCAGATCAGTCTTCACAAAAGCCACAAATTGGATTTTTGGTGCTTGACATCATTCTCTAGAAAACTTACGTTTATGTAACCTAACTTGCTGACTCCAAACATGAAGTGAGGTCGTATTTCTGCACTTTTGCATATTTACACAACAATTTATAAGCGTCTTTGCAGCAATTACATGAGAATATCATGTCAATTTTTCATGACACCTTCTGGTCAAATATTATAAAGGGTTTTGTTCTTTCTTTACTTCTCCTAAATTGA